GTCCATTTATTAAAAAAACAAAATAGGTTTCATGTATTAACGTTTTGTTATTGTTGTTGTTGTTGTTATTATTGTTGTTGTTGTTGTTGTTGTTGTTGTTTTGTTTTGAATAATAGTTTTCCAGTCAAAATCGCTCAAAATGGTCAGTGACTGAATTTAAATGAACTCCGCCTATTCCATATTCAATATCACTCATACGATGCTATTTACAGTCTGTGACAAACGGGGGAAAAAACTCTTGCCTCACATTCATAAATAGTATATAAAGAAATGGAGAAATCATGAATAGATTAAATAGAAGCAGTAGTAGCAATAGTAAAAGAGCCTCCAATCTGGCCTTACACAAATTTGTACTTTTATTTTTAATGTCTGCGCACTCTTGTAAGAAAAAATACAAGATAAAATCTCTGCATTGCATTACCATTTATTACATCTTAGTTTGACTTTATTGATACAATCTTAAATTTGTAACCGAGTTAGCTGGAGTCTATAATAATTATAGTTTATGGATGTTTATGTCCCTTCTTAGTGTTTGCTCATAATTGGAAGTTTGTACCTTCATTCCTTCCCTGCAGGAGCCATTAAATACACAACGTCAATGCATCATAACATACAGAGAATTCACCATATCATCAACAAATTTTCATATCGATGAATAATATATAAAATATGGAATTAAAATAAATGCCATTGAATATTCTTAAACATATTTTTGTGATTAATCAAGGAACGTCGGTTATAAATGACTTTGATACATGCCTTTACATTATTTATTTCACTTCATAGAGGATTATTACCTCAATTTGTTTCATTACGCCCTGATTGATTGTTTATTTGATTGACTGCGAGATTCATTCATTCATTCATTCATTCATTCATTCATTCATTCATTCATTCATTCATTCATTCATTCATTCAAGGTCAGCATTTGCTCTGGGTCTGTGTCACAATGCACTTTTCACAAAGATCAAGTTCATCGGAAGTGCATGCATCCATCTCGGCACATTTTGCTTCGTTCCATTTTGAAATAATCTTAGAATCCGGCATGCTCCTAAGATTTTATATGATAATATAAAAGAAGGATTGGGGAGGGTGAACATAAAAAGTGGCATGATCTGAAGTGAATTAAGAATAAATCGATCGTATGCTTGAAACTTATTGATCATGGCGATATGATCTAAGATTTTTTATGCCAAATTTAAATCCAGTTTGAGATGTATTTTCACTGAGCAGGGTTTTTACTTTGCTCAATATCTTCACTCTGAGCAGCAACTTCAATTTGAGCAGTATCTTCACTTTGAGCAGTATCTTCACTTTGAGCAGTGTCTTTACTTTGAGCAGTATCTTTATTTTGAGCAGAATCCTTGTTAATATCTACTGAATCAAATGTGAAGCAAAAGTTGCATTATTAGACCATGTACATTCTTAAACTAGTTCTGCTACTCATAACCGATTTTGTTTCTATATACTTCCATTTAACATTGAATACAAAATGCAAAGCATGAGCGCTAGATCCCACACAAGGGCAATGAAATAATCTCCACCATTGGGAAAAATACCGAAAGTTGATTACCCAGAGTCAGACTATTTCTTTCCTTCCTAGTTCTATTGTAATTACTTCCTGTGCACAATAGTTCCACAAATATAGTGGCAAGAAAATTTCAAATGAGAACTGCTATTAATAAAACATCGTTTAGGATATTGGACTCTTAAGCGATGCACATAACGATGTCAGATATTAAGATAATGACTATAATAAAAAATCGATAAGAGGATAGTTGTTGCTTTCAAAGAGGTTTCAACAATTCTGTTAACAGACAAGTATCAGCGTGC